CAATTATTATAATTTACTACCGAGTTAGACTAGCACGATACATGTACACTTTAAAGTGAATTTAACCACCTTATTGAAACCAGCATTTACAAAATAACGATACCACTTATTTCGTTTGGTAGATATTCGGAAATATGCAGTGTCATCGAAAATCGCGGTACTCTGAAATCAGAATGTTTATTTTATAATAATGATTGTAGGAATGAATCAGACATTCTATCGTTATTTTAAAATTCAGCTTACAATATTATCGGTAAATTGCATATTTATTTCAACAATCAATGTATTTTTGTAAAATTGGGTTGTTTTTACTTCTAATAAAATATGCATAATAAATACAACATTTTTTGTGTTAAATACATATATTTTAATTAAATGCTATAGGTATAGCTATCAAAAGAAGCCTTAGAAAAAAATCATAGTGGTTTTGTAACATAATACTATTTATTTAACGATATACGGAACTTTAAATCTGCCCTAACTGTACATTTTAAATAGTTATTATTGATTGTTACCTTCTAAAGTAGTCATTGTGTGCGTTTAAATTCTTTTGAAATGATATTGTTTGTTTTTTTTAACTGGTAAACAAGTATAGGAGAAATTGTTAAATTTAAAAAAAAAATAGCCCCAATATGCTACTATATTATTAAAACATCGACGTAATACACAATTTAAATTTGTCTTGGAACTTGAAAACTAATATTGACTTATCTAGCACTAAGAATCCAAAGTACAAAATCATAAATATTATACTCCAACGTTTGGTATATTTAACGTTCGGCACGTGTGCGCTGGTGAATACTAATGAACGCCGTTGATTTGTATATTTTTATTTTTCATAACATATTTTCAAATTATTTCTCACTAAATATAACATAATAAGCTCATAACACGGATTATTGTGTAAAATATAATAAAATATAATAATTGTAATATAGTATACAGACACTATTTACTATACTATTTCATCGGACATGACCCGTATAATTTCGGAATATAAGGGAAAAGTAAGTCCCTGGTAGAAAATATGCAACACGGTTAGCTTATCTGTTTACAATCAAAATTTTTAAGTTCTGTAGTATGTTTAAATGTTTTTAGAAATGTTATTTTCAATAATTAGAACCAAATTATTTAACACACTTAAGTTGTTTTCTTCAAATATTATCCATGCGTATTTTTTTAGATGAGGCTGAATACATTTTAAACAGAACCGTTCCGATAAATAATTGTACTATAATATTTGTAATGTAATAATGCGTATACGTACATCATTTTTATACAACCAAATAACAATTGCATGATTCAACTAAGTTTTCTAAAGACATATAATAGGGTGTCTCGTATATTCAGAGAGCCATTTTGCCTATAAGACAATAACATTACATTTTATATTCGAAAGACATTTTATTTTTCAGATTTAGCTTCGTTTTCTAGCAAACGCGATGGCCTGTTATTATAGGTTTTGGGGCAATGTTTTCCAATAGATAAAAGCATGACGAAAGCCCGATATAAACGGGTCTCGGCGGACTTCTAAACTAGACTCACCAAAAACAAAGTGTACCGCACACATGGTATTCGAGATTTTCGGTGTGAAAAAATACCAAAATAAGAAAATAATGTATGTCTTCCGTATATATATAATTTCTATCGTATCTCCTCTCGTATCAGAATCCTTATAATATAAAGTTGCCTTGGCGACAGAGATCATATGGATCTTAAAAGCCATACACGCTAACGTTCAGTCAGCAAATAAAAAAATGTTTTTGATTCTCGAAAAATAAAAAAATGTAGTTAAGTGTAAATGAAGAAGTAAAGAAGACTCAAAAGACAAATTTTAAACACGGCAGTACAATAAAATTATTATATTTTATCCTCTTGTCCATATGTGCAGTAGAAATAAGAGTAAACAATTTTAGTTTGCTTGATTTTTACAACACTTCGTTGCGATATAGCACATTCATTCCCAAAATAATTTAATAGTTTTTCGCATAAAAATATAGTTTCAATAAAACGTAGATATTTTTATTTCATTTTTAGAAAAATAACTCTCATCAGGTTCAAAATCTAAGAAACTGACATTGGTACCTATTGCATATTGTATAATACTATAATAACAAGTTAATTAATTAATTATACCTATTTTATTATTTTACACGAGATTTGTATAGTTAATTTACTGAACAATTCACTATATGTTTAACAAAATACGTTTCTTCGTTTTTAAATTTATTGAACAATCGGATATTAAAGAATGTACTAACGCATACAAAGTCAAGGGAGCAAGTTTTTCGACAAAGTTTTTATTTCTTACAAACCATTTTCTTATTGCATATTTGAACCCTAACGTCACACATGTACGATGTGCACATGGTTTTATGGAAAAATTCAGACACTTAATATTATGTGCTAATATAATATTTTAATAATCTATTACATACTATAATATGCTTCATTATTGTGGTGCATAAATATCAATCAAATTTTAAAAATCTTATGAATTAAGAACACGATAGTTCATTTTAAAGTAAAAATTGTATACAAAGTGAAATTATTTTTTTTTTTAATATTTAAGAACTATAGTTTTTAATCAATGGTAAAAATCTTAGAATAATTATTATGATACAATATTTACTAAAATGCTTACTTGATAATCAACATAACTATTATAACTAAACATTTTGAACAAGGATCACAAATTATGATTGTTTTTATGAATTTATTATTATTATTATAATCATGATTCATAACAATATTATGAAAATGGAAAACTTTCCTTACTTGAGACGAATAATTTATTAATGAGCTATATATACACAGTAAAACTGCGGTACTCCGCTAATTATTTTGTTCAAAATAATAATGTTAAGTAAAAATGTGTTTTATTGTTTTGTTATGAAGAATTTTGAATAAGAATAAGCCACAGTATGATTCATTAAATATGTCAAATTATTTTTTTAAACAGGAGTAATGTTTCCGTTACCTCACTCAAAAAAATTAGACAACTAATGAATTACTTTGTAATGTTACAGGATCTCCGAGTCTCACGAAAACGTACTAATTTAAATTGGTGGGGTAATTGAATATATACGCCACTTTTAATTAGCAAATCCTCATGGGACACTCTCGTGTACATCCGCGTCGTACAACATTTGACACTGAAAAAAATATACACATAAACTTACATTGATATCACCTCCACCTCCTCCCACTCAAAGCTATTGGGGAAGTATGTTCGGAATAATAAATTATCACTTTTTTTTTTTTTGATTACTTAAAAATTTTTTTTTACAATTAAAATAAAATGTTGAACTCTGAACGAAAATAGTTATTTTTCTCACTTATTCAAAATATATTTATATTTGAAGAGTGATTCAAACTTTTAAGTAGGTCCATCAATTTGTTTCATTCTATAGTTATTAAAAATTATACAAATACATTCATCGCTCAGAATCTAGAATTAAAGAAAACAACATTTTTTGAAATTATCTTACAGTGTTTTTATTTCCTATCTGAATAAGTACAGTACAGTATTTAAAAGGTATTTGATTTTTAAAAATTAAGTAGTCTTTTTAAATATTTTTTATTTTGCAAACTTATTGTTAACATTTACAAGAGATTAAAATTTCAAAAATATTGTTCAGATTCTTTTCTTATACTTGCCTTAACTCCCCACCCATTCAACAGTTATTTGCAATCGAAACAGCTGAACGTTACAATACATGTCGCATACGTTTTAAGGGAAAACACCATGTCAATAAACTTCTTAACTTTTGTTCATCCCACGCATCTTTGATATCTCAAATTTATAATAAAAGTTATAGATTTAACGTGTCGAAAAATAAGTGGTTGTGTTTATGCATAATCCGATTTGTATTGTACTAAATCATTTAGATAATGTAATGCGTATAATATTTACAAATTGTACAATATTCGTGAAATTAAAATAAACGTTAAAAACCATCACATGCTGAATTAAACTATTTCTTTTGAACACGCCTACTCGATTGTTTTGACATTTAATTTGACCGTGATCAGCAAATATATCAATCAATGATCATCAGCTTAATCCAAAGCAATTAATGGACCTTTGACGCACAATATATACATATATATGTAAGCTGTGTGTGTATGTGTCGGAAACATTACAGTTGCATTAACATCGAATTTCAATCAAAGTGGTTCATCTGCCGACAAACACGTCCGACTATTGTTATTGTGTACCGCGATATTGGCCCGTTACACAAAATAATTTAATAATAATATGATAATCGAATCGAATCGATTAAGCACGAAATAATTTTCTATTCAGACTTAAAAGTTTGAGTTCAAAGTCGTTCGAAACACACACAAATTATGTTCTCATAATATGGTAGTAGTGACGCAAATATGTCTATATTAAATATTTCAAAATAAAAACAAATATTTTCTTTAAACCCATTATGATTTTTGTATTTAACTCTATGAATTATATTTTTTCAAATGCATTAATAAGACTATTTAGTATTTATACAATATCTGTAGCTCATAATTTTCAATGTAATATGCCTACTATCAGACAAATATGTTTTTAGAAACCCACCTTATGACTTATTCAAATATGTATTTTTAATAAATAAAAGGTGGGTATAATAATAATTGCATACCTATAATATATTAAAAGGCTGTGTAATAAAAAATGTATTTGCAAAACCTAAAAAAAATATGCTACAGTATTATTTTTTATCAACATTGGCCAAAAACAACGAAAAATAAATATGAATATTAAAAAAATCTACATAAATATTAATCGTACAACTTGTGTTGTAAAAAAATAATAATGTTATAAACCGCAAAGATAGTAAAAAAAACAAGTGTATTTATAAAACTACAGATTAATACATTTATTTTAATTTTGATTACCACTGGTTCAAAAGCTGTAAAGCCACTTAAGTGGATACATTTTTTAAATGATTTAATGTCATTTAATATAATTTAAGTCTGGCAGAAACTTTTTTATACTTTAACCCTTTGAGGCCCAATGATTACTTTAAGAATCATGTAATATATATATTTTTATTATTTTTTCAACGTTATCAAGCTTATATGTTTATAATCAAAATGATGGGAAATTATATGTTCTTTCTAGTGGTAGTACTGTTTATTGTCATGGTGATTGTTATCATAATGATATTATACATTTTCTAACCGTTATTTGAGATTACTAACACTCACAACATATATGCATTTTTGAACACGACTTATGGTAAGTTCACTTACGTTATTGAATTTAAAAAAAATACTGTACGATAGGCAATTACCTAATAAACATAAATATTATACATTTCAAACAATTGTTAAAGTTTTTGTACTCTAAAAAGTAATGTAAATATGATGACTCCTAAGATTATCATTGGGCAGTAATGTGTTAATAATAATATAATACTATTACTCCATTAATGCCCAATGATAATTTTAGTCGTCATGTAAATTTATTTTGTTGTTAATTTGTTATTATATATTTTTACTTAGTTTATTTAAAAAAAATGCCATTTAAATTAAAAGAGGAAGAGATTGCTGATATTTTAAATGGTGATACTTCAGATATTGAAGAATTTTATGAGGATGATATTAATTTAGACAATTTGGATGAATTATTGATGAATGTAAATGATGTTTATGAAGTTAGTTTTTATTTTATTTAATTTTTGAGAATTATTGTTTTTTTGATGTAATTATTTATTAAAAGTTTATCTTAGGACATAAATGATGTAAATGATGTGACAGAAATAGATGATATTGATGAAATTGTACCTGCTAACAATGTTGAAACAGAAAATGTACAAGAAATAATTCATGAAGTTGCCAATGGGAACAAGACAATAATTACTGAACCGAATTGGATTTCTGAGCAATGGAAGGAACCAGAAACTGATTGGCAAGGTAAATTACCTGATCCACCTGATGAGTTATTATCTCCTCTACAATATTTTAAACTATTTATTGATGATGACATAATAAACAATTTTGTTCAACAAACTAATATTTATTCTACCGAAAAAAGTGGGAAGTGCATTGCTGTCTCTACGTCAGAAATGGAACAATTTTTAGGCATTAATATGTATATGGGTATAGTAAAAATGCCTCATTATCGAATGTTTTGGCAAAACAATAGCCGTTATCCTTTGATTGCAGACAATATGTCCAGAAATCGGTTTGATAACCTCCGTTATTATTTTCATATAAACGACAATGCCAAAATGCTTCCTAGAACTCATGCTGATCATGATAAACTTTTTAAAGTACGTCCTTTTATAACTGCAGTAAAAAATAATATGAGAAAAATTAATTTCGAAGAATTTTCATCAGTTGATGAGATAATAATACCATTTAAAGGACGTACATTTATGAAGCAGTACAACAAAAATAAACCCCACAGGTGGGGGATTAAAATGTTTGCCATAGCTTCTGCAAGTGGACTGGTTCACGATTTTGAAATCTATACTGGTAAAGGTACATTACAACAAGCTGAACAAGGTTTGGGCATAAGTGGAGATGTAGTTTTGAGACTAGTTGATGGCATTCCTAAAAATCAAAATTATAAAGTGGCAATGGACAATTGGTTTAATTCATATCATCTTCAATGTAGATTAAAATTTAGTGGTGTTTTAGGTATAGGTACTGTCCGTAGTAATCGATTGGCAAAATGTAAAATGTGCTCTGATACCATTATGAAAAAACAAGGACGTGGTGTTTTTGATTCAAAAGTTGACACAGTAAATAATATTGTAGTCACAAAATGGTATGATAACAAATTTGTACATATTATATCTAATTATAAAGGTCCTTATCCTACAGATATTGTAAAAAGGTGGTCTGTTGGAGTAAAAAGTAAAATTGATGTAGTGAGACCAGCATCAGTTCTAGAATATAATTCGTTCATGGGTGGAATTGATCTCCATGATATGTTGGTTGAATTGTACCGAATTGACATAAGGGTAAAAAGATTTTATTTAAGAATTGTTTATCATATTATTGATATGTGCACTGTTAATGCATGGCTATTGTATCGCAGACATTGCAAGCAAATGAATATTAAAAAAACATTAAGCTTACTTCAATTTAAAACTGATTTAACTCACGCATTACTTTTATCTGGTAATAAAACACCAAAAAGAGGGAGACCGTCTCTTAATTCAACTATTTCACCATCTACCAAGAAGAAAAGGGTGTTTTCTGCTAGACCTGTTGATGATGTTAGGTATGACAAAATAGATCATTGGCAAATACCTATGGATATTAAACAAAGGTGCAAACTCTGTATCAAAAATTATACTACCACCAAGTGCAATAAATGTAATGTATATTTGTGCTACACCAAAAATCGTATGTGCTTTATGGAATTTCATAAGAAATAAGCATAATGTGATGAAAATATTGTGATCATTTTAAAATGTATGGACTAAGAAAATAAAAAATAATATATATAATAATGTTAGCACTAAAAAAGTTCCAAAAAATGTAATTGTTTTGATTATTATTTTATTCTAAAGACTATTCCTTCGGTTAATTATTAGTTTTTTTAAAAAATATATTTGGACGTGTTATGTTATATTTATGTCTTTTATATAATTTTAAGATATAAGTTTATTTAATGAAGATGTGTACTAAAGATGTAGTAAGCATGTTATGTTAATAAATTGTATTTGTTTTACACAATTTATAAAGAAATTAATTTGTGATATTATCTATGAAGGCTCTAAAGAAAGTTCCTGCAATTAATTATTTTATACCTATTTAAATATATTTTAGGCTTGTACTGTTATCTATTTTGTATAATATTAAAATAAATTTACTTTGTGTTATATTTTGTTTAAATAATAAAGAATTTAAGTGAAAGTTGCAAAACATTAAATACATTTTCTAAAGTCATTATTGTAACCTTAAATTCCCAATGATAACTTTCGGCATCATGTTTTTCCTGGCTAGGAAAATTCATCAAAAATTTTGAAAACATATTTTTCTCTTAATTTAAATGTAATTAAAAATAACTAAGCAAAAAAAAAATTTTTTTTTTTTAAATTCTACTGTTGGGCCTGAAAGGGTTAAGGTACCTAAATACCTACAGTCTAAGTAGTTTTAGGTATAGTCAACAACAGGCATAAAATATATAAACAGTGTAAGTATTAACTGAAATTTGAATTGAAATTTGCTAAGATCTCATCTCAACGAAATGAATAACTATTTATTCACAATGTCTTAACAACATATGAACCACATAAAGTCGCAAAATGTATTAAAAATATTTAAATTCACATACTAAAGAATATTTCAATTTTTTTACAAATGTATATAATCTCTATAACATTAAAAATAAAAAATAAAAATAATTTGTATTTGCATACTGTCAATAAGAAAATGCAATTCTGTATCACATACCTATTGTGTATTTGTATTTATTAAACTCTTCAAATTGTTAGTGAACAACCCGTGAGTATTTTATGGAAGTTACTACGTTAGGATATTATTAAAGTGTACTTTGTAGTAGATTGTGTATTCAAATTATCTTCTACATACTTAATCTTCATGTTCTTTTAGGGTATTTCAACTCCTTTAACGAATGTCAATTATTTTGGTCCGAGTCAGTGTCAATAGCGCCATCTTAGACCTGATGACCGACCATCCCTTTTGGGTTTTCATTAATTTATATGGTATTTCATGCACACCATGCCTTGTTTCATTGTAAATGCACACACATGTCGTATAAAAATGTTACCATCTTAGAAGTATGTATTTGTATAGACATGGGGACCTGTATTATTTTTGGAAACCCGTAATTTTTACTAGTAAACAGATTGAGCACACGGGCATGATGCAAAGACGACACCTGGCATTAATGGACCACCGCTAACCTCGTTCAAAGTCAGTTTTGTTTTTATAATTTATAATAGATTATTAAAAATTTGGAAGTATTCGTAACCTTACAAAAAAAAAGAAAAAAGGAAAGGGTGGGTATACCATTTTTCTGTACAGTAGATGTCAAGTGGGTCACTGTAATGGACACTTTAAATTTGATTTTTTTTTTCATATCATTATATACAGGAAAAACGATTGTGAGGGAAGACCTGTGCGTTAGTCTAGAAAATTTTACATTATAATAATATTGCTATTAGCAATAATTATAGGTAGGTTGGATTCATTTTTACAAAAAACATTGTATTTGCATTCCAATTATTCTAAAATTATCAGGGAATTCCAGGTTACAGTATGAACAACTAATTAGAGACTTCGTATTCAATGTTCAAGGGTAAGCTATAAAAATTGAACATTTTAAGCTAGGTACAAAATAATTTTCATCGTAATTTTGACGAACATTGTCAACATTTGAATTCAAAATCTATAAGAAAAAAGTCGTTCTCATGTATCGTTAATATTTTTAATTATCTAAAATAACAACTTATCAGGAATCTTGTATATATTTTTTAAGCTTTTTGACTGAACGAAGAATTTTTTTAAGAATATAATATTTCAAATTAAATCGAACAATTCAGATTTTCTTAAAAAAGTTTAACTTTGGTAGGTAGTGTCAACGTAGAACTGTTTATCGACATTTATAGAAAAAAAATAAATCGAATCAAACTTTTTCTAACTTAACAAAATACATTAGATACTAAACAATTATTAAAATATAAGGTTAAAACTTTGAAAAAATTCTCATATTTTTCCCCCTGATTATTTCAAATAGTACATTGAATTTTAAATTTTGACCTCTCAAAAGTATATACTAGATCCAATTTTCTTCCAGAAACATCAATCGAAGTTGATGAGCAAAACATTTTTTTTAGTAGAAAAAGTTTTTCCAGACACAAAAAAAACACATCATTGTAAAATCCATACATTCATCGTTACGCTCAGAATCTAAAATGTCAAATATAATTAGGTTTTCTGTAATAATAATATCTTAAAAAACAAAAAACTAAAATGTAAATCTTATGGAAAACATTTTTCTATATCAACATATTAAAAGTCATATTTACGATCTAAAAAAAATGTAGATGCACTTGTACAACCCCAAAATTGTATTTTTTTTTTTTAATAAAGTATTTTTATTTATTTTTATTTATTTAATTTTAATTTCATACATATATACATACATATGAATACTGGGCCCCACTGAGAGAACTCGTGTGGGGGCCCAGGAGTTCAAAGATAACATTACATTTAAATTACAGATATTTTTTTTTTTTTTAAATAAAAAAGAGAGAGAAAAAAAAAAGAAGGTTGTACATTCTTAAAAATATATAATCATATAGCTATCTATTATTTTTAAACTAAAATTAGATAAAAATTGAATATATTGTATTTATAAAGTATTGTAACAGATTATATAATTAATTCGTCATGAGACTCCAACATCCATTGCAAAATTCTTTTTTTAAATAAATTAACTGTAAGGGTTATTATTTCGGATGGTATTTTGTTACATAAATTTATACCGATTACTTCAAAATATCTACTAGTTGTTGTTTTTTTAGTTTTTTTAATTAAAAAATTGTTTTTTGCGTATCTTGTGTTGATACCATGCATTATGGGTTGTAATAAATTATGACTTTTTAAAAAAATTGCTGTTATTTTAAAGTATAGTTTCCTAACAGGGAGTACATTAAACTCTGTATATAAATTTCTTGTTGGATACATACGCTCTTTATTGAGCAGGGACCTAATGATTTGATTTTGACAAATTTGAAGCTGAGATAATGTATTTTCAAAAACGCCACCCCAGCCTAAAAGTATAAATAGTAAATACACATAAATTCATAACCAATATAGCTCCCTCAACCCGCGTAGAGTGTAGCTAAAACTACCTACGTTGTACATTTTTAAAAACCAAGTTATTTATTTGACTACCATAGATTGAAATTTAAATATTTTTTCTAGAAAATGGTGAAAGAAAATGTCCATATCAGCGTACAATTTATAATATCCTGCCGTAAACCGCAGGGTATACATGATGAATACAACAATAGACTGCGGTTACTGGTTAGTATAAAAAATACAGTTAGCGAGATAAAACCAAATGTCATTTAAAAGGGATCCTATAGTACATAAAACTAGTAATACAAAGAGGCATAGACGATTCAAATATTGCATAACTAATGTCGTATCGACGTATCACCAATATGACATAAACTTAATCAATTCAGTTTATTTTAAATTTATTATGATAAGAATTATACTAAATTTAGATATTCAATTTTGATTCAATTTTTATGTCTGTAATCTACAAACTTATTATATTTTACATAAATATTATGAACCTGTTTTATAAAAATAATAATAGTTTAATATTATTATGATAATTAAAAAATATAGTGCATAGTTCAGGTCAATATTTTGGAAAAATGTTAAAGGATATTTAATATCTTTTTAGGACGTATAATATCATGCCATATCCATTATAATATATATACATATAATATACAGTACATTTTTATCTTGTGTAATACCTATACTATATTACGTATTTCGTATACTATATGGTTTTTGGACAGATTTACGACAGGGGTGGTGTGTACTTGTGTCCCAAACTTTATTGGAGACAAGTTAGTTGCACTTAAAAAAAAATTTAAAAAAGCTTTCGACCAGATTGTAAAATCGACAATAAATAACGATCGGCAAAACTATAGAGAAATTCTAACAGAGTTTATACATCGTTTAAGGGGGGAAAAAAAGTTAACATGAGGATAAATTATAAATTATATGTACATAATATAACGTTTTACACATTTACACATCGAATTGTATTCCGTCCCGGATTCATATATGCTCTCATTTGATTCATATGAATGCCCTCTGCGCCGAAAGTACGCCGAAATATTTGATGTGTCTGGATCGGATTTCAGCAGGTTTCGATACATATTATTATATATACACGCGGAATGGGTTACCGGAATTATAAGGATAGAAACAGATGGACATAACTCAGGATATTTTAGACGTACGACAATTTTATTCATATTCTCTGGTAGGGAAATAATAGTTTCAAGTGATAAAAATATTATCCAGCATACATGATGTTCATCTTGTTCGTAGCACGGAGCAAGTCGGTCGAAAAAGTTTGAGTCGACGGGCTGCAACGTAAGACATTCTAAATTGTTGCAGTTTCTGCTCTTATTGTATTTTGTACGTGTGAACACAAGATGACACTCCACCGCTCGTGACTAAGCTTTTCCACCATCGCGGTAACTATAAACGGCATCAACTGACGGATTGAATGAGCTTTTTCAGTCTTTCCCGCTCCTATTTCTCGTCGAGATAAAGCCGTCTATTTTTGGCTCTATTCCCATATGACCCACCCTATATATGGTAATATACATTTATATACACGGCGATTCACAAAGTAAACTATTATATCCTTTAATAATACATTTATTCCCAAATTCTGATCCTTTATTGTACTTACATAAAAATTCCAAAATGTATTATTAATATTGAAAGATAAAAAGA